CCCCCCCCCCCATTATACAAAGAATTAGAATCATAGGGGCGGGGTTTAGATTAAAACAAACTTAAACTGGCAAATAAAGATTAATTCATTATGTAATGAAATATCCTAGATTTATGGTATATAAACGACGTTTTTAGTTTGTTTTTTAAAAATTTATAATATGTTTCAATAAATTTGCAGATAAAACACGATGGATCCCAGCGATCTGGTTGGAGCGGGGGAGGAGGAGATGGACGTGGAGGAGGAGGTGGCGGTTGCCGCGGTGGAGCCAAGGGAGGAACCAGGAGCAGTTGAGACCCTGGTGGCCGGAGTGTTTGAGAAGGTGGCGGTGGGGGTCTTCACCGCCGCCGTCCAGGCCGAGGTGAAGCAGTTGATGGTAAGTAGTGGAAGAGTTTATTAATTTTAATACGTTGATAAAAATGAAATTGTATAAGGGGAAAGAGGCAAATAAATAGTAATACCTAGGTAAAAGCTAAAGAAAAAGAAGTTGTTAAGATATTTACGGACTTTTATTAAATTGAGCGCTAGCAAAAGAAATTTATTTGTTGGGTTTTCTTTACATGACTGTATGGGATCCAATAGTTGGTAAATAAATTCTTTTTTTATATTTCAGCCAGCACTGGGGGCCACCTTTTTTGGGTTGAACACCCTGTCCTGCATGGCGGGCACCATGTCCGTCCTGCTGGCCAGGAGGGCCTGGAACTGGGGGAGGTCTGTGAGGGAGAGGAGGAGAGTGAGGCGGGTGAACGCCCAGTTTGATTCCCTGCTGAGCCAGGTGGTTGTCGAGGCAGTGGAGGAGGTCCCTCTGGCGGAGGTACTGCCCAACACCGGGAAGCCCCCCAAGGGCAGGGGCAGGGTATCTAAGGCCACCCCCCCTAGGAAGATCTTGAGCCCCAAGAGGTCCAGCCTCAACAGAAGGCTTTCGGCCGTCTGGGCCGACGAGGAAGTGATCCTCCGGGTCAGGCCTGGTGTGAGGACCCGGAGCCAGACTTCTGTGGCTTCAACCTCCGACTCCTTCCAGTCCCTTTTCTAGGGCTCTTCCCCCCCCTTTAGTTTTGTAAATGTTACTTTTAATAAAGTATTAAAGGGGAGTAATTGGTTTAATGTTGAGATGTCAAGTAACTAGGAATTTTAAATGTCAAAGTATAAACCTAACAAAGTGTGAGAAGTTCAATTTCAATCATGGTCCAAAGTTTTTAATAGTTATAAAATTGCGTACTGGTAGAATGAAAGGGAGAGTGAAGCTAGTTGACATGACGCCTTCATATATACGCACAGCTTGTGTATTGTTCAATTAGTACAGACGGGGGTTTCATATTAAACAAGGGAATACGCACTTTGATAAAAAGCAAATTATTAAAGCAGTTTTATCATCATCAGAATTTCAAGAATTTGGATATAAAAATGTTTAATGTATACGAAGAATTCTTTTCAAAATTATTTTGCGTTTATCATATGTTTGTTAAATATATGAAGAGAAAGCGAAAGTGAAGCAGGTGTTGCATGACATCATTGCGTAAAATGCGTATATGTGACAAGGTCAGGGAAATCTACGCATTTTATTTTCAATTCAAATTTTAATCAATTTGCCTGGAATATGAAACAAGGGATATACATTCGTAAAAACAAATTAGAAAGGCAGTATTATTGACATTAGAATCTCAAGAAGTTCAATCAAAAAAAATGTGTAATGTTTCACAATATGCAGTTTTGTATTTAGAGCGTATTGCAATGTATCTTCGTTTACATTGGTTCGGAAAATATTGAGCACAGGTTAAAAAATAGATATTTACAGGTTTATGAAAAAATACAGTTCGGGCCAAGCCCAATTTGTGGATAACGGTAAAACAGTGTTATCCAGGCAGTAAATATGGTTTACTTAAAAAGATAAAAATTTATCATCTTTTGCAATATGCGTGTTAACGAGAAAATTGAAACTTGAGAAGGTCGTAAAAATGTAAATTAATTTACATAAACCCCAATTTTCTTTCTTATTCAAGAATCTGTATTTAGTACGTTGGCGAAATTATAGGGCTCAGCGGAATACTTCCATAAATTGTTGTAAAATATCGTTTTGAGTTAAATCCATATCTCGACAACGTTTTAATAGCGTAAAATTGAAATACTTTAAACAATATATAGGATAAGATTCAACCCGGGATACAGCGCCGAAGGCATGTTTAAATTTACCACGGATGGGTGAGGAAAGGGGGGGGGGGTTTGCATGCACGACATATTCAGTAGAAATGGTTATCCAAAAAAAAATATATAATTTGGCGGGTAAAAATAAAATTTTAATTTTGATACTCTTTTACCCTTTCAATTGGAAGGTTAGGAAAATATATTGAATGACACTTAATAATGTAATGAAAGTCGGTTTTCAAATGCCGATTGAATTGTATGTTTACAAACGCTGTTTAGGCAGGTTGCCCGTGGGTCGTGAGTTACACTTCCACCAGCAATCAACAGTTATGTTGTAGAATGGAAGATGGAATGAAATTTGTGCTCAGTGTGGACACAGGAGTACCGTGCTATACAGAAAAAGGTGTGTTAATACATTTACTAGGCCGAGCGCTGCGGCATCA